AGTTGATTAATTTTCTTATTTATTGTCCTAGAGGAATTGTTTTTATTAAATCTGTTGATGCCTCAGATATAGTTAAGGATGCTCAAAATCTTTGCAATTTATTCATGGACATGGTTGTATTTGCTGGTGCAAATAATGTTGTTCATCTAGTAACTAATAATGCAGCTAATTATAAAGCTGTTGGGAGATTATCAAATGACAAGTACCCTTCTATTTTTTGATCTCCTTGTACTGCCCATTGCTTAAATTTGATTTTGGCAGACATAGGTAAGATGGAGATTGTTACTAGTTTAGTAGCACGTGCATTTATAGTTTCAAAATTCATATATAACCATGCATTTTTGCTAGCTTGGTTGAGGAAAAGAGAGGGTTGGGTAGAAATTATTCGCCCAGGGGCCACACAGTTTGCCATTACTTTCATTGCTTTAAAGAGTATCTATAAGCACAAGCATGATATACAAGCCTTGATAACTAGTAAGGCATTTCAAACTCTAGATACTTTAAGGACCGAAAGGCTAAGGATGTGACAATGATTGTGTTAGACAACAAATTTTAGAATGACTGTAAAATTGTTATTGAAATTATAAAACCACTCATCTGATTGTTGAGAATTGTTGATTCTGATGATAGGCTATTACTTGGGTATGTCTATGATGGTATGTATAGGGCAAGGAAAGCTATAAAGAATACTTTTTTGAAGAAAAAATATTTATACAAGCCCTACACAAGGATTATTAAGAGAAGGTGGGATTCTCAGCTCTGACAAAATCTTCATATAGCTGCTTATGTCTTTAATCCTACCTTTCTTAAAGATAAAGAAAACTTTTCTCAAAAGCCAGAGGTTATGCAAGGATATCTTACTGCTATAGATAAGAAAGTCTCTTCTAATAAGACCAAGTTCTTGCAAGAAGACACACAATATCAGGAAAAGAGTGGTAGCTTTAGTCATCCATTGACTATTGAATCTGCAAAATCAATGCAACCTAATAAAGTAAAGATTTATATATTTATCTTTCATATTTATTATCTTGCAACTTTATCTGTAAAATCTCTTCTACTAACTTTATCTTTAATATGGCAGATGAATGGTGGTGATATTTTGGGAAGTAGTTGTCCGAATGTTAAAAACTTAGCTATTAAATTGTTAAGTCAAACTGCATCTTCACTAGGTTGTGAAAGGAATTGGAGTGTCTTTGAAAGAATACACTCCAAGAAAAGGAATAGATTGGAGCATCAAAGGTTGAATGATCTTGTATATGTTCATTACAGTTTTCACTTAAAGAATAGGTATATTATTTAAAGCTTTGTGTTTATTTGCATTCATAAAGATTGGATGAATGAATTCTTATAGTTTGCTATTGTCATGTATTTTAGAGTTGCTAACAAGAGAAAAGCAATTGATCTTGTTGATTTTGAAAGTATTGATAAAATTGAGTATTGGGTAATGGAAGAAGATGATCCTTCTTTACTTCATGTTGATAGATAGAAGGAGATCTCATTTATGATGAGCAAACACTACCAAGAGCTATTATTTTGCAGTAGGAAGAGGAAGGTTTGAATTTGAATTTTCTTGAGAGCTTTATTACATGCTATCACTTTTATTATATTGCTCTTAATAATGCTTTAGTCTGGTTTGATCACTTTAATGCATTTGTTTATGAAGATGATCAACATAGAGTGAATGTGGTAAAGGGTGAAGGGATTGATTTAAGATCATTTAGTTAGGAAGATGATGATAGTTATAACACAGATGTTGATGCTTTTGACCCTAATCATGCCTGGATTAATCAAGTGGATTGACAAAGATCTGCTAATATCTTTGGCAAGTAATGAAATTATTAGTTATCTTATAATGTTAGGCTTGTGGATTGTAGATTGTTGTACTTATGAACTTGATGCATTATGTTAATGACTTGAACAAAACATATTATGGTGTTTTTGTTGTATTAATGACTTAGGTGTTTTGAAAGACTTAGGTGGTGGTATATTGTTGCCAGCTTGTTGTATTAAAGACTTGGGTGGTATTATATATATATATATATATATATGTTATTTTTTATTTAATTATTAGGTCGTTGGTCCAACTGGTTGAACTATGAGACCTGTGACCTGCTGACATTTCTGGTTCGCTGTTTGGTCTAGGTTTTAAAATATTGTTTACAATAATACAATAGCAAATCACAACTTCACATGTTAATTCTTTATTTGCTATTGCATTTTTGCGAGTGTATGAAGGAAGGTTTTGAATATTTAAACAATAGTTGTGGATTATTTATTTTCAATAAGGATAATTTGGTAATTTATATAAATTTATTAATGATAGAAAAATCTCAAAGGACTTCAAAGGAATTATGACATTTTGAGGGATCAAATTATCAATTGCATTGCACTTTAAGTTTCGAAGGTTTTATTCAAAACAAAGAAACTCAACTTTTTGTAGGTATTTTCATCCTTTTACACCTCATTTGGCATACAAAGAATCTTGCCTTACACGATGGAATCCAAAACAAGTAATTTGGGTGGACCTCTACAGTACACAGACCAAAGTAAAGATACAAGTGTTTCAACAGGACGAACAATCTGCAAGCATTCATTCACACAAGAATCATCATATAAATCTGCTCAACTGGGAAATCAAGATCTGCAAATTCAAAAGAAGGAAAATTGCTTACTGTGCTGCAAAAATCCTGCTAAAAAAAAAAAAACTGGAAGTACGTGCAGCGCTCTCTCTTCTCCAGATCTGTGACTCTACTGCCGGAACACTCGGTGGTTTCTTTCATTCAAAGCTTACTTGGAAATTTGCATCAATGTTCCATTGATCTAGATATTTCAATTCTCCTAAAGCTCTTCAGCAAGTTTACTCTCACCATTTGTGGCACGAGTCAGCCTTCGGATTATGTTTTACTTTTGCTTTCCCCTTCCCCTTTTAGTGACTTTAACTATATAGTTTTGTTATAACATTTAACTATTTAGTTTTACTTTTTATCGTACATTTTTTGACTTTTTATAAAAAAAAATTAAGGTTGAGAGATATATTAGACTTGGTCTTGTCACCATGGAGAGTCAAGCAGAACACTAAACTAGCAGAATATGACAGATTTTGTAAAGAGCATGCCATTCTTGGGGATTTATTTTTTTCAAGTAAAAGATAAAGAAAGATATATGGATTTTATCAAACTTTGACATCACAATATATAAAGTCAAGGGTCATTTTTACCCTCTAACTTTTGACATCAAAATTAAATAGGGTCACTTTTCTATACCAAAAAAAAAAAAAAAATAGAGAGTCACTTTTGCATTCAAAGTATTTGCTTAGGGACACTTGGTGTGATCCAGTTATAGAAGGTTATTTAGATTATACATTTGACAGGAAATTGTTGTTAATATTTTAACATGCTTACTTTGTAATGTTAAGGCTTGCTTTTTGACAATTTGTAAAACTTTATTTTACACATTGGAGTTAAAAAATGATTTAAATATCTCTGTTAGGAAAATTTATGGCAATTGGTTGTATATTTTTTTCTCAATTGAGAGACTCTAAAACTTAATTTAAAATTTCTTGAGACATTTTAATTACTTAACATGATTTTGAAATTTGGGCATTTTTTTCAAATGCAATTGAGCCTTTCAAGCCTAACTAACATCATTCTCATTTGAACCCCTTTTGAGAGTTGAATTGAAAGCCATGTTGAATTGCTAAATTTGACTTAATAATTGCAAGAGAATCATTTTTTTGGACAAATAAATGTTTCAAAATTGTTGGAAAGCTTGATCTTAATTTGTAAACTAAGCATTCCTCCATATTCCACTATTGTTCTTTTTGATTTGCATCTTGAGCAACTAGTAAGGACTTTTTCATGCATGCTTAGTAAGTGAATAATTGATCAATCTAGATATTATAGTGCTTGTTTTACTTGAGGATGAGCAAAAGTTCACGCTTGTAGGGATGTGTTAACTTCTAAAATTTGATGTCATTTGAGCACATTCTTCTTAGATTTTGATATTTTTTGGCACAATGATATATATTTTGACTATCCAAATTGCGAAAATGTGTATCAAAGAGTTTATACACTTGGCTTTAATTTAATACTTTTGGCTAAATTTGTGCTATTTTGTTTTAAGGTTAGGGTGGAACTAGTTATAGACTTTTAATGATGCTTTTGGAAGGCTTTGAAAGTTGTGGATGATTATCAGTAGTTAAACACTTTGCTCCGAAGACTTTCTTAACATCTTATAAATTATACTTTACTAGTGTATTTTGCTCAAACATAATTTCTATTATTTTTATATGATTATGATTTCTTAAATGGGAAATAATTTACATATTTCTATTTAATCTTATTTAAAAGATATAACCTGTCTCAATTTAGTTCTTCTTACTCAAATAATTATATGACAAATTCCAATTACCATGAATTAATTCCATTAAATTCAAATAAATACCTATAAATGTTTTAAAAGTACAATTAGAATCAATTTATCTTGATCAGGGTTTTTCTCAAGTTCATATTATATTTATTAAATCACAATCTTATGTGTCTCTAGCCTCAGACAACATGATTTATTTACCTTAATCTTCAATTTACTTGATTAATCATATATTAATATCATTTAAATTTTATGAATAAAAATAGGATGTTATGCAAGATGAGCCTTCTCCATCATTAAAAAACTTGTAAAAGTAGGCCCCCATTTGGTGAATATATATATATATATATATATATTTTGGTGATGTTAGGCATGTTGAGTTCTAGGGACGCATGAAGGCCAAGATATGCCTCCATTCTAAGAGAATTTATAAAAGTATTGACAAATCACCCACAAATAAGACCCTTAAATTGGTAGTGAAATTTGATTCCATGATGATCCCATAGGTTATGGGTCAAATCTTAGAGTATAAGAATAAAAAAAGTAAGAAGCTTAGATAGAGAGAAAGAGCCACTTGAAGTGTAATTTTGTTTAATCATCAAGTGCAAGGAGTTTGCTAAACTTAATCCTGCACATTACTTATTCATAGTTGATTACACTTCACATAATAGAGGTTCTACGTGCATCAGATGATTCAGCATTAATGAACACAGCAATAAGAGGATAATCATCAGTGATAACCAAAAGCGAGTTTCCATCATTGCCTCTGGCAATCCCAAGATCTCTACAAGAATCACCATTAATGGGACAGAACACAATCTTATACGTGAAAAGAGTATATGGTTGAATCCTGAACGAACACTGCATTGTTTTCTCGTACCCACCACTAATTTTCATGGACTTCATCCCATCTTCTCCTTCAACAATGGTCCACCTGGACGGCACAGGAACATAGGATAGTACTTTTCCTTCAATAGAGAAGAAGTCCACATTAATGCTTGGTGTGATGTATCTAATTTTTAATGGGGACGTAACTGTCTAAGGCAAGCCATAGTCTGGAAAAATGCTAGATGGCCGTTGCACAACACTATGAGGGCAAGTTTCATTTCCAGTCTTGGCGAGATCCAAGCCACCGGGTCCAGGCGTGATAGGTGAATGGATGTAGTATGAGGCACCATTCACAATGGGTTCGCCCTGACCGTCAAGGAGAAACTTGGCTGTGGTTAAAGAAGTGAAGAAGGAAAAGAGAACTAAGAGGGAAAACAACGAAGGCTTCATTATATTGATTGTTGAGCTCTTGTTTTTTGGGATGTGGTGCTGTGTGAAAACGAGATGATGGAGGGTTCTATTTGTAGAGCTAATGTCTACCAAAAGGAAGGGTAGTTTAGATATTCATCGATGCAAATTGACCAAAGCAAAAAAATAATATATCACATTTTGGAGGAGGCACAAGCACACGAACTCTAAACTTTCGGCTTAGGATCCAAATTATGGAAGCAAGATGAGGAGATATATTTTGGGTGAGTTGGACTTATGGAAGGCTTACTAATGTATAATAAAATGAACATAGTGTTGATGTTTGTGAAACTATAATGTAATTTTAAAAACATTAAGAAGTTTTCTTGGTTCATGTAAAGTAGATATTTTTTGTGGCACGGAAAAAAAAAAAGGATAACTTTATCTTGTAAAAATATCCCAGAAAGTATAACTTATAGTGTGGATGGGAAAGGCCAACTGATAGTTGTGTGGAAGGGATAGCAGATTACATAGAAGCATATCAATTGGGAATAAAAATTTCGTCTTACCTTGTAGGGGAATGAGGGTATTTCTGATTAAATTGTCGGGTTGTTTTACTTATGCAACATGCTTTGCTTAAAAGTAACTTTTTTAAAAAAATTTGGAAAATAAAGTATGTAAACTTTTTTCCCCTTTGGATTTTGAAGATAGATTTGTCTCTGTATAGCATGCAGAATTACAGATACAAACATGGTGCCGGTTCTCTCTTACTGTCAATATCACCATAATATATATATTTTTTTTCACACGCGTTGCCAAGTTGTTCTTATCTTATATACTAATTTTTTTCTGGATAATAAGCACGAAGAATATGAAGCACAGAATATTGTGGTAGCTACTTTTCACTATGTTGTGTTTTATCAATTTACTCATTGTCGTAATGAATCAGGCTTTTTGAAGGCACTTGCCAACAGTCACGTGAGGTCGAGTCACAACCCAGATGGAGCAGGGACCTCTGTTTGTCTCCCCCTATCCTTTTCTCTTCTTCTCGCTCTTCGTGTTTCGCATTTCCCTCGTTACAGATCTTTAATTAATTAAAAGTGTGCTCCATTCCCAATTCTCACAATCTCTATACTGATTCTTTTCTCAGTGAAGTTGTAGCCAAGCATTTGCTTATCCCCAAACAATAAATGACAACAAGCAATACTCCCTCTCCGTAGCTATATATAAAATTTTTAGTTAAATTTTGTATAGCAATAAAAGTTTATTATTTAGTTGAGAATTTAAAATCATAACAATATATCTAGTTTTGCCACCCAACAAATGTCACAATTAATATCATGGTGGTGGGTAAAGCATACAATTAATATCTCTTTTTATTTTCAAGACAAGGGTAAAATTGTTCAATTTCTCACAATTATTATGATACCCGTTGCATTTAAAGACAAGAACAGCTTCTAAAAAAATACCTTATATAAGAACGGATGTTAGATATGGTAAGATACTTAAGAGGGAGGTGAATTGGGTGCTAATCAAAATTTTGGGTTTTTTTGAAACATTTTTATCAAAACAATGTATAAGGGAGAGTTTGAGTAAATGTGAGTTCAAAACTTTGTTTGCAAGAATGTCAAAGTAATTTTTGCAAGCTTAATATATGTAGAATATTTAAAATAATTTTTAAGTGAAGTTAAAGTACAAACTATAATTGCTAGAAATATAAAAAGTTGAAGGAAAAGAGAATGCAAAATGTAATTTATCCTAGTTTAATTCTATCACCTAAACCTATATCCAGTCTTCAAGCAAACCACTTGAGATTTCTCCACTATCTTTCACAATTTTGAACCAGACATTTGTGAGCCACTACAATCCTACAAGTTTGATATAGGAACTTATGAGCAGTTAGAATCACTCACTATACTAATGAACTTTTCTCTTAAGGGTATAACCTCTTTTGATTATAAAAAAACATCTCTACATCACTTTTTACAACAATTTTAAATAAGTAAATCATTAAATAAAAACTCTCTCTAAAAGTAGAAATGAGTATAGTCAAATACTTATATTCAAACAATAAAGATATAGAAAATATTACTTCAAGAACAATGTCTTTCATAAGGTAAGAGAAATATGAACTTGAATTTTACAACTTGATGGTTTCTGAGCATAACCTCATAAGTTTGAAATATTATATTTATAATTAGGTGTTTATATGTGTAATGACCCAAATTTTTTTCTAAATTAACGTAAATTAAATTTTTTCTAATTGATATTTATTTAAATTAATTTTATAATGGATAGTGATAGTTTATAAAAACTTATATATTTTTTTTTGAAGGTTCAGGATTTGAATTTTATTGAAAAAGTGTGGTTTTATTTTATTTTAAATTATGACAAACATTTTGCCCTTGTTGTAATTTTTCCTTGGGGCATTTCTTGTAGTTTTCCCAATTATTCTTTTTGTTCAAAATTTATATCTGCTGCGCGAAAACAGAGCATTCGTCCAGCTCATTCCTTTCCTTCCCTTTACCGACATGAGATCTGATTCTCCACCGGCATTGCACTCCTCCCCTGTTCTTCGCGTCTCCGGTGGCCGTAGTGCTTGTGCTGTCTTGCAACACCAGGTTCTCCATCATCCTTCCCATCTTTGATTATTTTCATGCTGCTACTCTGTTCTGCCGTTCACGATCAAGTCGCTGGTGTGCGTGAGGAAATCAGTCGCTAGAGCTGGTGACATTTGTTGTGAGTTCTTTTTCCGCTTGGTCTAGCGCTGTTAATTTTCGTTTGCTTATTATGAGGAGATTGGAAGAGAATTAAAATTATGGTTTAAATAATAGTACTTGTAAAATGTTTGCTAATACGCATATTAGAAAGTTTTGTTTGATTATAAGTTTTTAAAAAAATTTCATTAGCTCTTACGGGGACATACTCAATTTGGGTATTAATTATCGATAAATCTAACTTGAATTATATGAAGAATTTTGATTATGAAATTATGGTGAGACAAATTGCATTCTATGAAATTGTATGGATGATAATTATAAATGATAATGTTTAAAGATTTGATTTGGGAAAGCCTTTGAATTGCTTGATAAAATGGGTGATTGGAGAACTTGAAATTTAGAGTGATTAATTATGGTACGTGTATATAAAATATTAATTAAGTTCTGTTGCTTGCACTTGACAAGAGTTGGAAAGAGTTTATCAAACTTGAATATGTCATTGAATTTTCTTTTTATATTAGATAGGGCATTTAGAGGAAGAAGGTTTGATTGGGTTTTAAGAAGTGAATTTTAGTACCTGAAAACATTTCAAATAAGTGAATAATATCTCAACTACTTTACCATAAAATTATTTTCTAAAATATTATATTTATGTAAATTATTTTAATAACAATTATGTTAAGTATTGAATATTTTGTTATTTAAATTCTTATATTGGGAAATTATAAAGAAGTGTTGAAAGATAATTGAGTTATGGCAAGTGTATTTTTTTTTTCTTACCTTACAATGAATACTTTCAAATTGATGAGATTATTTTTATGAACTTTGGTTATTTTGAGTTATGCAATAAATGCCAAACATGGATTTCAGTTACAAAATTTTATCTTGGCAAGTTTTAATGCTCAAAATTATTCATGCGAGTTTGACTTTGATAATAGAAACTATATTTTATAACGATGATTTTCTCGCATGTTTAAAAATGGATTGCTATAAATTTTATATAGGACACTGGTTGCTAATGGCAGTTCCATTAGTCTTTGGCACCTTAGTTATTTGTGAGTCTCATACTCGCATTTATTTTTGTGGCTTCAAGCCGCGTTTGATTTGCATTACTCTTGTAGATTGTGTATTCACGTTTGTTTTGTGGCTTCTTTTGTGTTTGGTTACTTATTCTCGTAAACTGTATGTCCACGTTTGATTTTGTGACATAAGCTGCGTTTTGTTATTTACTCTCATAGACTGTGTATTCATATTTATTACTTATTTTGATAAGTTCCCATAGTTATGAGATTTTAATTATTTGATGAATCTTTTTTTATTGGTTTTGATTAACGATATATTTATAATTATTTAATGCAGTTGTTTTGCTTTATTAAAAATAAATGATAATGACGTTTGATATGATGCTTTAATGAATCAAGATTTTATTTAATGTTATATAGAACCCTCTTATGCCAAATTTTATTAAATATTTAGTTGCAAAAATTGTCATCTGTAGCACTCATAATTATTCTATATTTTTCTTTTATACACATTTAACTATTTATTGTTAGGATGCTCTTCACTGAAAATTTATTTTGGTCTCAGATTAATTAGCTGACGTTGATCCCATTACTGACCTCTAAAGGACATACAACTGTTATGGGTGAATTTTGTTTAGCATTATCTCCTTTAATGTAAATATTTGAATTCATGTATTTTATTTTGGAAGTAAGAATAGATACTCCGCATAGCCTATAGATAGGTATTTATTTTGATATATGTTGTCTGTTAGCTGGAAAGAGCTGAGCTCCAGACTAATATTATATCTTGTGTAAAATATTGTGTTGTAGAATTTTTGAAAGATCCTATTTATAGGGAAGGTTTTGTCAAAATTTCTATAAAAATATTAAATCTTTTATTATAATGATTTTTTTAATACATTATAATTTGTACTAAAGAGAAAAGATTTTCTTTAATTTAAGGCTTAAGGAATATGTGATATAACTCATGTGTCGTGTTAGTCACCCTTCAATTTTGGGACATGACAATATGAACATGAATTTCATAAACAAGGCATGCCATATTCCCCCATACAAAAATTATAATAGAATATAGATTATTTTAGGGCCTTATAAATTTAAATTGGCAAACCAAAAACAGTTAAAAAAAAACTTGGGCCTAACCCACTACTAGATATTTGGGCTGAACGGCACTGAAGAGATCAGCTGAAATTTATAATTTCTCAATTGAATGAATTTTTTTTTCTTTTTTTAAGAAAAAAATTAGGTGAGTTGAGTCTTAAAAATCCACCAAGATCATAACATACTTTCAGGTTTAAAGAGCACTTACAAAAGTATTCGCATAGTACTTGCTAATAAGGTACTTATATCGGCATTCTTACCAACTAAACCAACATTTATTAGTTCAATAGAATGAAATTTGATTTCAAAGAAGGACAGCTTATATATGATGTGTGGAGAACCTATATATCTAAAGTATGTAATCTATGAATATCATACTTTTTTTAAGAAAGAGAGAGAATATCTTATGTTTTACAAAAAAAAAATTAAATTTTTATATAAATTCATGGATGTTAATTTTTGAGGATTTGCTCCTGTGTAATTGACTATAAATAAATAATGTGCAAAAAAATTAGTTAATTCCTTTCATTTTGTCATAATTAAATAAAGTCAAGCTTCAAGAGGCTCTTTACTCCAACCCTCTAAAGCTTATTAAATTTATGATGTTTTTAGTTTCTCAATTTATCGAGCTCTTATTGTTAGAAATGACAATATATATAAGAAAGGAGGTGAATTGGATGTTAGTCCATTTTTTTATTTTAAAATTGTATATATAAGTGTGTGCTTGTGCAAAAATTTAAGTTATAAACTTTGTTTGTAAGAATACTTAAACAATTATTACAAGCTTGACACTTGTTTAAATGATAGAAATCAGATTTCAAGTGAAATCTTAGAGTATAAGAATCAAATTTAATCCTCATTCAACTGTATACATACTTGAGCAATTACATCAATTTTTAAGAAAAACACTTGAGATTTCATCACTATAATCCGTAATTTTGAATTAAGCACTGAGCCTTCCCCCCCCCCCTGTAGTGAAGTCTTCGCTTAGGAGATATCTCACTCTTGAATTATATTTCTAAGGTTACCACGCCCTTAGTTCCTAAGAGATATCTCACCCTTACTATTACAACAAATAATTGAAGAAGATTCACACAATCTCACCCTTACTATTACAACAAATGATGAGTATTAAAACCATTAATAATCCAAAAATTAAACAATTATAAATAAGACTCTGTCTTTACATTTGTCTCTAGCTACTTTGAACTAGAGAAATATTGAGAAACAAAAATCATTTCATCTATATTATATTTATTTTAATCATCTCATATTTCATCTCTAAATTAATAAAAATAAAATTATAGAATTTTAAAAAAATATGGAGAGGGTGTAAGAGATGGTTAAATTTTTGTTCCTAAATTCATAAAAAAAAGTCTGTCTCAAATTCAGTCTCTAAAATTAAAAAATGTAAAATTAATACGAGAGATGGATTTGGAGATGACCAGCTTAGGGATGAAATATATTCATCTCAAAACTTGTCTTTAACATTTTTATTTTTTTAAAATTAAATTTTTAATGAATATTGATAGAAGTCAAGATAAATTTTGGCGTTGCTTTTTTTAGATATGCATACAAGCCATCTATAAATCTATCTCTAGAGTTTAAAATATTTTTTAAATTAATTCCATCTCTAAAAATATAGTTAATCTCTACTTTCATCTCTATTAGAGATGATAATTAGGCTGTCTTTAATTATCATCTTTATTGTTATAATTTTTTTTTGTAGTGGATAGAAATCAAACTTCAAGTGAAATCTTAGTGTATAAGAATCAAATTTAATCCTAGTTCAATTCTATGCATACTTGAGCAGCTACAACAATTTTCAAATAAACTATTTGAGATTTCTTTACTATAATCTGTAATTTTGAATTGAACACTTTTGAGCCACTACAATCTTTTCCTTTATATATATTGAAGTCTTCTCTTCAATTATATATCTAAGGTTACCACACCCTTAATTCTTAGGAGAAATCTCACCCTTACTATTGCAACAAATAATTCAAGAAGATTTACTCAATAAAAACTCTCGAGGAGTATGATGAGTAAAATAAAACTCTAATACTAAAATAATAAGAATATAGACATATTTTTGGTCAAGTATAATTATTTTTGTATAATAGAAGAAATAATTTAAATTTCATAACTCAGCATTTTTTTATTGTTCAAGCTAATTAACAATGAGCTTATAGTGTTGTAATTATAAGCCATTGATTAATATAGGAGTTAGAAACAAAAATGAGCAATTTATGGTTGTTGGGAAACTTTTTCTGACTCATTAACACGTTAAAATGGAAGTTGAATCATTAAAATAGCTAGGTGGAAATTTCGACGTCAAGATGTCACGTTAAAATGTTGGTTAATGCGTTAAACTAGAAGATGCCTAAAAAATGAAATCTGGAAACCTTATGACATGTTAAAAGACTTCTAACGCGTCAGAATAAAGGTGGAGAAAAATGAAAATTCAAGGGTCATCTAAATAACATGATAAATTTAACTGCAATTCAGCGCCTTGATACTTTCATGCAAATATCTTGACTTTGGGATCTTGAATGATATTCTCCCTTTGACAGAAGTTAAATTCCATGTAAAAAACCGAAATATCCCTTCATGTTTTTCTACATTATAAACTAAAAGAAGCTTAGAGAGAGACACACTTGAAGCGTAATTTTATATAATTATCACAAAGTGCAAGGAAATTACTACAAGCGTAACCCTGCACATTACTTATTCATAGTCGATTACACTTCACATAATAGAGGCTCTCCGTGCATCAGATGATTCAGCTTTGATGAACACAACATAAAGAGGGGTGTCATTAGTGATAACTAAAAGCGATTTTCCATCATTGCCTCTGGAAATGCCAAGATCTCTACAAGAATCACCATTAATGGGACAGAACACAATCTTGTACGCGATACTAGTATATTGTTGAATCCTGAACCAACCCTCCTGAGCTTTCTCATACTCGGCGATTTTCACAGACTTCAGCCCATCTTCTTCAACCATAGTCCACACCGACGGTATAGGAACACAGGAAGGTACTTTTCCCTTAACTGAGAAGAAGTCAACATTAGAGTCCAATGGGAGGATTCTAATTTTTAATGGGGACCTAATTGTCCAAGGAAAGCCATTGTCGACTTCAAAGGGTGACTGCACAACACTAAGAGGGCAAGTTTCGTTTCCGGTCTTGGCGAGCCTTAAGCCACCACCTAAAGCCCAGATATGTGGAAGGATGTAGTATGTGCCACCATTGATAAGCTCGTTGCCCTCACTGTCAAGGACAAACTTGGATGTGGCTGAAGAGGAGGAGAAGGCAAGGAGAACGAAGAGGGAAAACAAGACAGGCTTCATTATACTGTTGAGATTGTGTTTCTGGGGATGTGTTGTGTGGAAATGAGCGGATGGAGGGTTCTATTTATTGGACTTATTACTCCCAAAATGAGGGGTAGTTTCGATATTCATCCATCGATGCAAGTTGATAAAAAAATCTTTAAAGATATGTCACGTTTTGGAAGAGGCACAGGCACGTGATCTCTAGACTTGTGGCTTAGGATCCAAATTATGGAAGTAAGATGGGGGGATACATTATAGGTGAATTGGATGTATGGAAGGCTTACTACTACATAAAAAATTAGGTTTAATAACTAATATTTAAAAAAAAATAGACTCATACATTATTGTAGTCACTAGCTAGTCCAAGTCTCATTTTGGGCAAGTTTCAGGTGGAAACTCGCTCTGATTCCATTTGTTATGAATGAGGAGTGTTTATAAAGGGGGGAGAGAAAAAATGGGCAAAGACCAACGATATGATACCACATTAACAAATGAGGTGCTTCAATGATTTTTAGATGCAATTTCCCTTATAGATTACTCATCAATAAGATTTTAATGTAGGAATAAGACTAGCAATTATCATCAAAATAATTTGTAGAGAAAATTGGGTTTAAGGAATAAATAGGTGAAAAAATTGAGAGGAAGAAGTACATTGAAGGTTCTTAGGTGTATTGCACATCTGCAGTTATGCTTCAAAAATCATCTAGCCAGGGCCAGTCCCATTTTGGGTGAGTTTTGGGTGGAAACTCGCTTTGATTCTACTTGTTAAAAATGGGGAGTGCTAGAAATAAGGGAGAAAAAAATGTGTAAAGATCATCAAAATGATATCATATTTTAACTTGAAATCTTAAAGATCACATTTGTAGGTCTTTTTTTATTATATATTAATTATTAAGTTAAACTTTATCAGATGTGAAACTTCTTATACATCAAATGATATCATATTTTAACTGAAAATCTTAAAGATTACATTTGTGGGTCTTTTTTTATTATGTATTAATTATTAAGTTAAACTTTATCTCATGTGAAACTTCCTATACATCAACTCAGGTCCATAACCTAACAATTTTAACTAAGTTGACGAAAAGAGTACACCTTTAATTGAGAAATTGAGCGAAAAGAGAAGAGCATTTTCAAGACGGCATTTGCGAATTTTAAAAACATTAAGAATTATAAGTTTTCTTCGTTTTTGTAAAGTAGACAATTTTTGTGGCCGAAAAAATAGGCAACTTTATCTCGTAAAAATATCGGAGAAAGTGTAACTTTTAGCGTGGATGGAAAGGAAAACCGACAGTTGTATGGCAGCGAAAAGGACCACGTAAAAGCATATCAACTGGTCTTATTACCTCTTTTTTTTTTTTTTTTTTCAATTGGTCTTGTTACCTTGTTTCTCAGTGAAGCTTATCGTCAAACAATTAACGGAAACAAAAAATGCTTATGAGACAAACTGTGAGCGTTCATTGTGAAAGAGAAATATGGAGAAATGGTCACTCTTATTGTTTCAACAGGACAAATAACCTGCCAGCATTCACTGACACAAGAATAATCAAGATATAAATCTGCTCAACTGGGAAATCAAGATCTGTAAATTCAAAATAAGCGAAATTACTTATCGTGCTGCAAACATCCTGCTCAATAAAGAGGAACTACCGCGCTTTCTCTTCTCCAGATCTGTCACTATATTGCCTGAACTCTTAGTGGCTTGTTGCATTCGAAGCTTACTGTATTCCATTGATCAAGATATTTCATTTCTCCTCAAGCTACTCTTCGGCAAGTTTACTGTTATCAGATGTCATCCGAGTCAGCCTTCGGATGATGTTTTACTTCATACTTTCCCTTTACCTTTTTAGTGAATTTAACTATTTATTTTTACTTTTTATTGTAAATAAATAAGGTTGAGAGATATGCTGAGATTTAGTCTCGTCATCATGGAGTGTCAAGCCGAACACGAAACTAGCAGAATATTACAGATTTTATAAAGATAATGAGATTGTTGTGGAATTTTTTTCAAGTAAAAGATCATGAAAGATCCATGGATTACATCAAGGTTTGATATTATGATATATTTGGCACAGGATGATGTGTTATTTCTGTTCTATATAATTATTTATTATTTTATTAACTAATAACAATGTCTTTCTATAATAATTCAAAATTTTTAAAAAAATATCCTATTTTAAATTTGTAATTTTTTAGTGTAATATCTTGGATCTGAATTTAAAAGCATACATATATACATCAATTTTCATATATACAACAGTGCACAAGAAAACAAATAGTTTTAGTCCCCTAACTTTAAACGTGAAGCTCGGTGTTGGAAGTATAGTTGCAAACAAACACGATATTTTCAGTATATATGCCCTACGTGAATAAGTTCTCCATATTTCTTTTTCACAATGAATGCAATTAGTTTGTCTCGTATATGTAAGTAGTATTTGTTTCCATTCTTTGCTTGAGGATAAGCAAATGGTTGGCTCCAACTTCAATGAGGAAAAAAAAAAAATACAAGAAGAGATTTTTATTCCCAATTGATATGCTTCTATGTAGTTTCTTATCCCTTCCGCACAATTGTCGGTTGACCTTTGCCTCGACAGTGTAAGTCATACTTTATTGGTTCTTTTTATAAGATAAAATTATTTACTCTACATAAATTAAGAAAACTACTGATCTTGGTAGATAGAAAAGTATTTCCTAGAAAAAAAAATAAAAAGATAATGTTTTGAAGATGAGAAATTCTTGCATGGACACAATATACTACATTATCCATTCTCCATCTGATAAAAACATGTTAGATAACATTAGTATAAATTGATTTTGTTATCAATGATAATAGGTTAAGAAAAGGAAATAAATTAAATAGGCATTCTTTAAAGTAATTAAAAATAATAACAGATAATATTTATTTTATCTGTTTGAATTGGTACAATTTTATTGGATGGAGCATGTATGATGTGATGCATGGGGTCTATGCAAGAATTTCTATATTAAAATTATATTTTCTTTCTACAAATACTCTCTTGTAATTAAATGCTCCTCTTTCCATTTCCACTCTCTTTAAAACTTAAATATCTTATTTATAATTAAAACTCTTGAATTTATAATTATTTAAACCAATATTTTTAACTTAATTTTTTAGAGAATTTTATCGAGGCTTTACTAGTTTGGGGACTTCACTGTCATTCTTCCTAAATTTTATTAGAAATAGAAACACAAAAACTTTTCAAAAGGAAGCCAATCGAAGCAAAATTTATTTTAGTCTAGTGACACAGATGGCGATAAGGAAGGCGCATGAAGCATTATTTCACTTGTTCTTCTTCAGTGAATGTAACAGTTTTGATAGTAGGCACTTCAATCAGCTGGTGATTCGACTTTGCGAAACACAACTACGAAAGGGTCGTCATCATCATCAGCGATAACCAAAGGCCTATTTATTTTCTCGTCCTTGGAAAGCCCAAGAGCTCTACAAGGATCATCATCAGTGGGACAATACACCATCTTATAGGTCGTACCATGATATGTCTGAATTTTAAACCAACCTCGTGTGCTCGTGCTCATGATGGTGTCTTCAGGCTCATACTCCTCAAGTTTCACTTGCTTTGTCTCATCTTCTCCCCCAACAATCGTCCACCTTGCCGGAGTGGCTGCACAGTTTGGCGGCGACTCGACGATGAACTCCATGATAAAATCTGTAGGGAGGAATAAGATTCTGTATGGAGAAGAAAGTCTGGTGGGCCAACCGTGGGCGAGTTCAGAGAAGGCTTGAACAACGGTAAGAGGGCAAGTTTCATTGCCTTTAGCTTGGAGGCTGACGGGGCCGCCGTGTCGCCAGAGGGCCGGGAAGATGTAGTATGAGCCACCATTTCTGATGGGGTCACCATCGGTGTCCACCAAATCAGCTTTGGCTGATGGTATGAAGGCAAATACAAGGAAGAGGGTAAGCAAGAAGGTGGTCTTCATTTTGGTTATGTCGAAACGAGAGGATGTGAGGGTTCTATTTATTGATTCACTTGATCCTTTGGAGGGGTAGTTTAGGTATTCAATTATGCAAGTGAGACAAAAATTTAGTTAATGAATGAAAAAGATGTATCAGATAGTGGCACGAGAGAACTTCATGTGTAAGTGTTGGATAGAATATATTTGGGACAATTACATACATGTCCCACTCAAGATAATTAATTACTTTCAAGTTTATTAACAACCGAATTTAGAAGAATGACAACACATTAGGGAGTAATTAATTATCTTGACTAGGACCTGCAAGTAATTCTCCCAATATATTGTGATTGTTTTGCTGTACTATACAGGGACCACTATAAGCGGAAGCATATTCTACAAAATTTGGTTTTAATGTTTTAATTGGGTTTGTCATAGGAAAAATAAAACACACACACACAGAGGGAGAGAGAAACAGATATTTTATTTTTTCCCTTCATTTGATCTTATCTTTCGAATTATATCCCCCAATTTGATAATATTGCGGTTAAGAATTCTAAAAAAACATATCTTATTTTTTGAATTGTCTTCCCCATTTTGATTATATTACAGTTAAGAACTCTAAAAAAAACATATTTAAAAAAAAACACGAAACTTGATCGTGGTTTAATTTGCGCTTTGAGCTATGTTTTATCAAATAAGGTAGTGATTTGGTTCATGGTTTTTATCTTTAAGTTGTAGATCTGTTTATAGCGAATTCCCTAATTTACACATATTGTAGTTTTTTTAAAAATCAATAATTTTTTGTTTCGGAAGAAACTAAATTAAAATAAAAAATTGAAGAAAATATTTGAAATTTCATTTGACGCATTGAAAAGAACTTTGAAGATTATTTTCAGTTTATCCAAACTGTTCAATAATTTTCTAGACAAGTTTGTATGTAATTGCGCTTTGAGACAAATGATGTGATTCGCTTATATATAATAAGAGTCTAAAATCTAATATAAATTAACATAATTCAGGCCTAAATATGGGCTATTTAACATATAAAACTTGCACGTATGACTTGTGAGTGTCACACTGCTTAAGAGAAACACTGCTTTTAAAGATGAAATAAAATAATGCAACGCACAGCAGGCCATTCGCGAAAGCAGGAGGAGAGAGTCTCATGTGCTAGGATATGAGGCTGCTGGAGCCCTTCACCACAGCACGTAGAGCTCACGTGCCCCCAAGGCGCATGGGAATGATAACTAGAATATGCTTTGCTTTTTGTAATCACGTGAAATTAATTGTGTTGTTTCGGAAGGTTGATAAGTCTGAGGTACCGGTGACACAGTTGAGACCACCAATATCCTCATGTACCATACTGTGCAAAGTGATTTCGAAGATAATTGTGAGCAAGTTGAAACCATTAGGTCCAGTTTTGTTATTATAAAAAAATGGAATGGAATGGATTAAAAATATAAAAGTAAAAATAAGATGATTAAAATGTGAAGGGAGAAAGGTGAATTCATAAGGGAGAAAAGTAATTTTAGTATATGAGATTGAGAATTATTATTCATTAAATTTTTGGAGATGTGATGATTCCCATGTTTGTAATATATAAGATTAAGTTTTATTATATTTATTATGAAAGAGAAGAGTGATGTACGTGAAGTGGATTGGGAATGTTGAAAAATCCAATGGAAATATAGTTCAAGTTGTGCCCAAGTACATGCTGTCATTAAGAGTTATTTTACTATCTGGTTAAATCGCAGCAACTCTCTTAGATTAAACGAACCTTTCTTGTAGGAAAATAGGGTGACGAAAAAATAAAACTATAAATAGTAAAGGTAGAATTCGGGAGGAAGAAGAGAAGACTCAGGAGCGGTGTGTGTCTGAACAAGCGGTGGTCGATAGCTTATATAAGCAAAAAATTCTTGGATGATTTGAGGACGATTAAATGCATAGCTTAATGGGCTTAAATATAATTAATATGGCTTAGTAACCATTAAAGAAAACTATTTCTTAACATTATAATAAAAATTAGTTAATGGTAATTAAAGTGCCCGACACAGCATTTAACTTGTGCACAAGGAAAAAAGCTGGATCTTAACTATATTAGCCTGTTGTTATGTGCGCGCAAGCCTTCCTTTCTTCTTAGCCCACTTAATCAAATTTTCATCTTAGTATAATAAAATTTTCACCCTAACACACACACACACACACACACACAGAGTCTTTCTCAAGTTCAAGCAAGGAAAATTTTCTTTTGACACACTGATAACCTCTAGAATTTCATATTATTTGAGCACATTTTTCTTAGATTTTAATATATTTTGGATCAATTATTATATTTTGATTGCTCAAATTAAGAAAATTTGCATCTTGGTTTGGGTTTGCACAATTATTTTTAATTTAATACTTTTAGGCTAATTTTGTGTTACTTTGGTTTGATTATATTCATTTCTACACATTTGTTAATGCTTTTGGAAGTCTTTGGGATGAAAAAATCAAGTGTAAAAAGGATAAGTTTTGTTCACTATAAAAACTATGCAAAACTGTCGAAATCGTGTGAAAGTCATGACTTTCACTGCTATCAGCAAAATACTCCATTTTATTTATTAGAAAATGCTTGGGTAGGATATATATATATATATATGTATATGTATATGTATGTATGTATATATGTATTCTGAGAGCTTGACCCAGAAGGCATTCCACTCACTTTAAGATATATTTGGATCTTGGTTGTGCTAAGGTTTGGGTATTGGAAGAGCTTGGAGTAAGGGATTGGAGTTTTGAAGACATTTGAAGCTCCTTTTCTTTGATTTTCCTATTCCTATTCCCTTTCCTCTCTTGTAATCTAAAAGGGTCTAAGTATTTTGTGTATTTGAAGCTTATGGATGATTATGAGTAGCTAAATATTTTGTTCTAAGATTATTTGGAACCTTGTATGGATTGACACTAAGTTTCTCCTCTCCTTTTGTGATTATAAATGTGTTTATTTTATTCTTTTCTTAATGGTTCTAAGTATTGGGCCACTATTTAGATGTTAAGTTCACTTAATTGATGCTTGAGAGTGCTAGGTTGAGTGTAAAACTTGAATAAAATAGTGCAAAAACTTGACATTTGCATGTTGAATGGATAGTTTTGCTAGTAAGATAGAGATATACTTGCTAGCCTTGCATAGTCACATTAAGATTGGTGTTTAAAATTAAGTTTTATTTATTATAATAAGAGATTGGGTAATTAATTTAGCTAAACACTTATTCATGACTTGAGAGAGCTTGTTTAAGTACTTTTAGAACTCTAGGTTAGCACGTATCTTCATTAAAAGTAATTATGAGAGAAGATAATTTTGGTGTTATGAGATGCAAAGGGGATAAATAATGTTAAGTCCTAATTTGTACTTGAAGTTTGTGAATCATTCTCTCTTTTTTTTAATGTTAATTTAATTTGCAAAATCAACTTTACCTAAATGTCTTTAGCTCAACTTAATTGAATTTACTTAGTCTTTTGCTTGATCATTGTTTTTAAATAAATTTCTGTGGAAATGATATTTTACTTATATTATATTACTTGTCATGGCCTGTGCATTTGTGGAGAGCGCAGCACACACAAACACAAAAACTGTAGCAGGGAATTCCAATGGAAAATTCATAGAAACTTGTATGTATGAAAGACTGAAGGAGAGTTTTTTTATTATTCTTAACTGGATTGGTTCACACAGAATCTGAGAGGGGAGGATTGGAACCTGATTTTTGGTGCCAGTGTATTGTTATTTTGGTAGTAGAGGGATATCTGCATATAGTGGAAATATTACTTAAGAATAGTTGGCTAGGTGGAGCTACCTTCAAACCAATGTCGTACAGCTATTGTATGAGCCACCAACAGGTTTGTGTCATTTTTGGTAAAATAAAAGTTTATACGAGTTGATTCTCAGAAACTTGCTAAGGATAGGATATGCCTATAGACTTAAAAAGTTTTTACAGAAGGTATTTATAGATTGCCTACTAATAAGGTCTTTACATTGGCAGTAGGATTTGATGATTCCATGATTTTGTAGATTATTGGCTATATCTTCATCAATTAGATCAGCTTTGATGATGATTTGTATCATTTGTTGCGTAGAGATGTCTTGGCCATGCTAGTCCACGTTTACTTGTTTAGCGGATTTTTGTTTTGGGCTCTTGCCTCACTTTCTTGTATATTGATTTGTATCTTCTCTATACATTCTCTCAATATATTCCTCCACACTCAATCTTATCGATATATTTAATTATTCATTTGGTTTAATGGTGTCAAATTGCTAATTATAATGTTAAAATAAATATTTTATTTATCTAATGATTATTATAAATAAGCATTATGAATTTATTTTCAAAAGTATTCAAGTGGTGATAATGAATAATCTATTTATTTTAATGATATAATTAATAATCTGACACCATTAAACTAAATGAATAATAAAAGGGATGGATGAGATTCAAAATGGATTGATGCATTGAGAGATGGCATGGAGAGTATCTAAATCCCTTATATATATATATATATATATATATAAAGCATTTATTATTTTTATAGTATTTCTTTTGATTTTAGCTCGCGGGTTCAGAGACTTCATGCGTCACAAATATTTTGAAAACTTGACTGATTATTGAACTGATTAAAGTACCAGCTCACCAATATTTTTAATTATATGTAATTACTTAACGTAACAAAATCAAAATAATAGAAATTTATTATTTTCCATAACAAATTTAAAAATAAAAATAGGTAAAAAATAATACTTATAATGTATATAATTTAAAGGAAAGTGAATTATAATAATAATAGATTTTAATTATGTATTTGATAATAAAAATATAGTTTTTTTTAGCTTTTCCTTTACAATTTGGCTTTGAGTTTTTTTTATTTATAAAATATATGGGACTAGTAGGTCTCAGTCTGCACCCTGAAAGGCTTTGACTAATTATTTACGAGGTAGTGGGTATGGTTCAAGTTCAACTATTTTCGTGCTCTCCTCAACTTTTGAAAACCCA